ACTTATGGCGATCAGAGTTGACTGCGAAGCAAGAAGCCGTAAGAGAATTCCACAAGCAACACGATATCTATCTATCTATCTATCTATCTATCTATCTATCTATCTATCTATCTCGTTTCTTTCTATTTTGTCAATATATTAATGCCTCTTCCCATTATATATATATATATATATATATATATATATATATATATATATATATATATATATATATATATTAATCTTATATTTATATAGCTCTTTCTCTTGTTCTTGTTCAAAATATAAGTTTTTTATAGCTATATTAAATTGTTTAAACATCTCTCTTTCCTTTTTAGTGTAGTTATGTTCTATCTATCTATCTATCTATCTATCTATCTATCTATCTATCTATCTATCTAATTCTGTTCATATCTATCTATCTATCTATCTATCTATCTATCTATCTATCTCAGTCTTTTCATATCTATCTATCTATCTATCTATCTATCTATCTATCTATCTATCTATCTCGGTATGCTCTTATCTATCTGTATATCTGTCTATTTTCCTTTTTTTCTTTCTCTATCTCTCCATCTTTTCCTCCTTTCGTTGACTTAATCTTTTCGTGTGTTTTTTTTTGTATCCCATCATATCTTCTTTTCCATGAATAAGCGTACATAATCTCTCTCTCCCTATCTCTCTATCTATCCATCTCTATATCTACAGATAGAAATATGGCGTGTTTGAGAGAGAGAAAGAGAGAGAGAGAGCGAGAGAGAGAGAGCGAGAGAGAAAGAGAGTGAGAGTGAGAGTGATGAAAGAAAAAGTAATTGAGCATGAGAGGATGAAAGGTTACGAAACTCTCTCTCCCCCTATCTCTGCCTTATCAATCTATCCATCTCTGTATCTATAGATAGAAATATGGCGTGTTTGAGAGAGGAGAGAGAGAGAGAGAGAGAGAGAGAGAGAGAGAGAGGGGGGAGTGAAAGAGAGCGAGAGTGATGAAAGAAAAAGTAACTGAGCATGAGCGGGGAACAGGGAGAGGATGAAAGGTTACGAGACTTTAGATACACTTGACGACATTCGTTTAGAATCCCGTACAAAGAAATATTCTGACCATTCCAAATCTTTTACGTTTCAACCTTTGACCTTCTTTGTCCTCTTGGCATCATCGGATTCTTTTTACTTCAATCCCTACATGTTTCGTCACCATAGCGACAATATTTCGAGACAAGGCAGATCAACGTGGCCATCCATTCACCAGCGTTAGTGAATAAACGCAACTGATTTTCACGGTGTCAAATCGCGTCCATATAACAGAACACAAATACGAATGGGAATTAAGAATACACATTCTGTAAGCATTGGAAAAAACCGTGAATATGTATTAAACGAACAGGAATAAGAATACAAATTCTCCGACAACATTAGGAATGGTATAAATAGAAATTGCAGAGTGAGTGACCATGGTTAAATGTAAATAAACGACAGAACTGCTCAACAAACAGAATTGTTTCTTTCTTTTTTCAACTTTTCACCCTAAACAAGAAGGGAGTGCCACTAGCACGCAAGGGGTTAGAGAGAATCGTATCAAGAGTAAAGAGGCGTGAAAGAGGAAAAGATAAAGAGAAGGGCGGGGAATAGATCAAGGCATCTGGAGATGTCGATTGACATTGCATTTGAATAGTTGGAGATTATAGCTATCAGGGAAGAGAGTAAGAGAAAGGAAGTTTCACAGACGGGAAGTGCGAGACATGAGGCTATTGGAGTAGAAGAGACGGCTACATTTAACCGTTTCGAGCGTGAAAGGGGGGGACTGAGATGCTGACCTAGTGGCACGTTTAAATTCATGCAGTGTTAGGAACTAACGAAAATAGACCGTCGGAGCAGTTACCGTGAAAGTTTTTGTAGAAAAGACAGAGGGAGGCAATGTCACATCTGTGAGATTTACGATAAACAATAACAACAACAACAAACAAAACACAAAAACGAAAAACAAAAGAACAGGAAAGATAGTATAAAATAAGCAAACAATATATGTAAGGCAAATTAAGAGTATTAAGGCAAAGTGGGAGTAATATGGCAAAAAGTTCACAAACTAAAAATTAGGTTTGACACATATTTGGATAAGCGAACGTAGCGTTCTGACTTCAAGGTACGACAGACCGGGACTGAGTTATATCAAACCGAGAACCGGCCTATATTATTGGCTAGGAAGAAATCCCAGCATATATTTGTGTCCTACCTGTAAATTGGGGAGGGAAAGTATTTTGCAACCATTCCCTTTTCAGATTAAAACCAGCAGAAATAGTGAGAACGGGTTTAAGTATAAGAATCCTGTCAATAATATTAGGGTTATTATGAATATAAATAATGTGAACAGGATTAGAAATATTGAAAATATAATAGATATCGCTCATATGAACAGAATTAGAAATACAAATTCTCTAAAATTACTAGGAATGAGTACAAATAACAAGAAGAGGATTAAGAATACATTATCTGTAAGGAACAGTAGAATACTAATAATGCGGACAGGGATAAGAATACGAATTCTCTAAATACTGCTTGGATTATTATGAATACAAATAATACGAACAGGATTAAGAATACATTATCTGTAAGTAATAGTAGAATATTAAGAATGCGGACAGGGATAAGAATACGAATTCTGTAAATACTGTTTGATATTTTTATGAATATTAATTATACGAACAGGATTAAGAATACATTATCTGTAAGTAATAGTAGAATACTACGAATGCGGACAGGGATAAGAATACGAATTCTGTAAATACTGTTTGCATTTTTATGAATACAAATAATACGAACAGAATCAAATATACAAATTCTGTAAATAATATTAGAAATCCTATAAATACAGCTGATAGAAACGTGATTAAGAATAGAAATTCTCACAAAATATTAGGAAAACTATGAATACAAACCGGATTAAGAATTCTGTAAATAATGGTCGGAATACAAAGAATAAAAACAAGATTAAGAACAGAAATTTTCAAAATAATATCGCGAATAGGATTAATATAAATAACCTGAACAAGATTAGTGATAATTTAAAAAAAATATAAAAACGAAACTAAAGGATGTGTTCAGAAATATGAACATAAACGTAAAAGATATACTAGCGACGATTATGAATGTTAATCGAATCTGACGCTTTCTTTTTGAAATAGTGAACAGCGGTTTGAGTACGCTTGTTACCATTACGTCATGGCAGCTATGCAACAAATGCAACGTAAGATTGTCTTTCGATACTTGACTGACGAGGCAGAATTTTTACTCGAAGTAGGTTGTCATTTCTTTCTGCGGTAGACCAGTTGCCATCCAAGGCTAGAGAACTCGGCCTGTCTTGCTATAGATAAATCAGGCAGCCAGTTATAAGCCATGAGTGATACATGCTTAGACGATCATGTATCTTTCGATAGATGACTGACGAGGCAGATTTTTTACCCGATGTAGGTTGTCATTTCTTTCTGCGGTAGACCAGTTGCCATCCAAGGCTAGAGAACTCGGCCTGTTCTGCTATAGATAGATCAGGCAGCCATTTATAAGCCATGAGTGATACACACTTAGACGATTATGTATCTTTCGATACATGACTGACGAGGCAGATTTTTTCTCGCAGTAGGTTTCATTTCTTTTTTCGGTAGACCAGTTGCTATCCAAGGCTACTGAACCCGATCTGTCCTGCTATTTACCCATAACGGGGGTCGGGGAGAAGAAGCGGACTTATATCTTTCCCAAGGGTGTTAGCACGTAAGTGAATGTAATGGATTCGACTGGAATTCGAACACAGCTCTCCGATTTCTCAATCCGACCCGCTATCCATTACTCCACTGGGTTGGTCAAAAAGGTGAGTTTACTTATTAAATAAAAAATTTGCTTAATAAACCGAACTAACTTTTAGGCCAAGCCAATACATTCCAATTTCTTCAAAAGTTTTTTGTTCCAATTTATTTATTTTCATCGAACACGATTCATCCTGAATGGATCCCTGTGTAGTAAATGGTATTAGTGTTCATGCCTTTTATCAGGACGTAACGAAAATTAGGAACGTAAAGAATATTGTGGTTTGTCAAACTTTACTGACGCACCCTAATATTCAAATTATGAAATTATATTTAAATGAGAAGTATATCTCTCCATGGTTTGGTTTGCTCAAATATATATGGATCGCGTAATGTTTAATTAGTCTCGCGCTGATCAGATTCAGGTGACACTGTACAGATTACAGACTGACAAGACTATAAAGGAAAGCAAGATGAAACGACTAACTGTTAACTTAAAAAAAATCAAAAAAATGACTGGATGCTTGGTTGTCAGCAAAAGGGACAGTTACACTTTTCAGTTACGCATCGGGGACGTCAAAATCAATCATGTACAGAAATTCAACTATCTGGATCGTTTAGTAACAGAAGGCGGGATGTACGATAAAGAAGGTCGTAGAATGGAAAATCCGAAACATTTTAATGCAGAGAATTAAGAGATTGAACAACCAACGGAAGTAGATGTTTATTAAAAGCAGACAGCAACATACCTAGAGGAAGGAAATGGACGGTTTTATTCTAAATTCCCTGACTTGATGTGAGCAACATCTCAGGAAAGCGGCAAATTTAATCTGCTGAAATATTATATGAATAGCAAACATACTAATCAGAAATGTTTAATAATATACATTATCTTTTAAATGCAGATTAATTTTAGTCAGGAAGAACATCATTGCAGTCCCAGGCTCAAGTTTAATGTGCCTCTAGTCCTATCCTCTTATGATTTAACCATATCGCCGAGTATTTAGTTATAATGGTAGAACATTGAAAATTAGTATTTATTTTAATGATACCACTGCTGCAGATATTTCTAACGTGTCGGTATAGCATGTCGGCCATTATATCGACTCTTTCTTTCCCAAGGGGATATTAAAGGTTTCCTTTCCACCAAGTCCCGTGCGTCACCATTGTTAACGTTGTTTGTTTGCAGAAATCTCGCGAGATTTGAAAGACGAGAGACCAGGCGACAGGATGACCTCGCAAAGAAACAGAATATTGCAAGCGAGCAAAATTTTCACGCGCATTCAGCCAGTTTTTTTCCCTTTTCTTTCTCCATTATTTTTCTTTACATCGTTTTTTTTATTCTCTTTTAGTCTTTGTGAGAAAACAAAACAAAAAAAACTTCGATATTTTAATATTTTTTTCTTCCGATTAAAGAGACCTTTGTTTGAACTAGTTTCTTTGTTATCAAACTGTTACTTTCGCTGAGAAAGAAAAGGTTTTTCGCTTGCGTTATTTAATTTTAATTCGTTATTTGTTCCTGTTTTCTTTCCAAGTCCGAAGATTTTTCACTTATTCGAAAGAATCTTTTTTTTTTTACTTTCATTTCAGCAATAATTTCTTTATTCCTCTCAAATTCTTCGATTTTTAATCTCTTTCATTTACTTAGTCAAATATATTTTTCATTGTTTTACACACTTTTTTCGTTCTTTCCTCCTTTTGTTACCCTACATATATTTATTCATTCAATGCTAGTCTTCCTTTTTCTATTCTTTCTTTCTTACTTGCTTCCTTGCTTGTTTTCTTCGACATTCATTCATTTAATTTTATTTTACGTTCTTTGTATATCTAGTGTTTCTTTCTACTACGTATTTACATTAATTCTTTCATTCATTCAGTCATTTATTCACTCAGTATATTTTTAATTTTAAATAATTCTTTCGTTCTGTCTTGCTTATTTTCTTTCTTGCTTGTTTTTTTGACATTCATTCATTCATTCATTCATTCAATCTCCCTTCTTTCTTTCTTTCTTTCTTTCTTCTACGTTTTTACATTCATTCATTCATTTTCGAAATCGGTTTTTATTTTTTATTTTTTCCTTTTTTCTTTTTTGCTTTCTTCATTTGACATTCATTCATTCATTTAATGCTCTTTTTAATTTCTTTGTAAATCTACTTCTTTCTTTCTTTCTTTCTTTCTTTCTTTCTTTCTTTCTTTCTTTCTTTCTTTCTTTCTTTCTTTCTTTCTTTCTCCTAAGTATTTACATCCATTCATTTATTCATATATTCATTTATTCTATCAATCTGATTTTCTTTCTTTCTTTCTTTCTTTCTTTCTTTCTTTCTTTCTTTCTTTCTTTCTTTCTTTCTTTCTCCTAAGTATTTATATTCATTCATATATTCATATATTCATTTATTCTATCAATCTGATTTTCTTTCTTTCTTTCTTTCTTTCTTTCTTTCCTTCTTTCTTTCTTTCTTTCTTTCTTTCTTTCTTTCTTTCTTTCTTTCTTTCTTTCTCCTAAGTATTTATATTCATTCATATATTCATATATTCATTTATTCTATCAATCTGATTTTCTTTCTTTCTTTCTTTTTTTCTTTCTTTTTTTCTTTCTTTCTTTACTTCCTTCAATCGTTAATTTTTCTTTCTTTTAAACTATTCTTTCTTTATTTTCTTATTTTTCATGCTTATTTGCTTCTATTTATTCAATCTATCCATTTTTTCATTCCTTGTTAAATTTATTCTTTCTCTTTCCTCCTATTTACACTCATTCATCCACTCATTATACCTTTTCTGTCTTCAATTTTTCTTTCTTTTCAAATTTCTTTCTTTCTTTGTTTTACCCAGCTATTTACTTTCATTAATCCAATCTATCCATTATCTTTATTTCTTTTTAAATTCTTTCTTTCTTTCTTTCTTTCTTTCTTTCTTTCTTTCTTTCTTTCTTTCTTTCTTTCTTTCTTCCAAGTATTTCTTTTCAAATCTATTCCTTTTCCCCACCTATTCAATTAAATTCCTTCATTCATTTAATTTTTTTTTGCTTTCTTTCTAAATATCTTTTTTCCTTTATTATTCATTGAGTTGTTTTTCATTCATTTTCATTTGTTCTTCATCCTCGTGAATATTTTATTCTCAACACTAAAACTCTCCGTTATCGCTATTCTCTTGCTTGATAATTTCGTTACTCCCAAGTCCACAAATCGTGTTTTATGTTTCATAAAATTTTGTCTATTTGTTTGCCTCATAAGTCAGCTAATGTCACTTGACAGCCAACCCAAAAGAGATGAACAACATCTCCCCAGATAAGCAAACACTCTCAGGCACGCTCGCAATTACGTCGTCTTTATCTTCTATCGATGTCATCTGCCATTGTAAAATGACGACGCCATCTTTGTCTGTTGACATCGACGGCCATGGAAGTCAGAAGCAGGGGATAAAAAAATAAAAATAAAAAAAAATGGCGCCGGGCCGCATCTCTTCCCTCATAAAGAGAAGAGGAAAATGTGATAAAACCAACGAGAACAAAAACGGAACATCTACGTTTTTATTCACTTGGAGCTTCGTGGGGAGTTAAATATTGACCTGTTGCTCGTTGTGGGAGAGATTCCAGTCTAACAATAATATTTTCCTTCACACGTTAGAAAAAATATTTTTTGATAAGACAAAAAGAGAGAAAATGTATAAAAAAAGTATAAGTAGATAAATTTTCATATATATTTTGATGATTGATATAATTGTGTAATCAAAACTAATACAATTGTCTGATTTTGATGATTTGCTATTGATCACTCTCAGTCTATTCTTATCTATCTATCTATCTATCTATCTATCTATCTATCTATCTATCTATCGATCGATCCATCTCCTTTCTTACTTTCTATTTTGTTCATATTATTATAACTCATATATCTGTCTTCATTATATATATATATATATATATATATATATATATATATATATATATATATATATATATATCTGTGTGTATTATTTATGGTTGTTTATGCCATTTCCTTTCTCAGGCTTATAATTTAAGGTTTTTTGCACATCTTAAATTGTTTTGACACATCCCTTTCTATCCTATGATGATAGATCTATCTATCTATCTATCTATCTATCTATCTATCTATCTATCTATCTATCTATCTATCTATCTCAGGATGTTCATATGTGTATTTGTATATCTATCTATTTCAGTCTGTTCAGATCTATTTATCTATCTATCTTATTTTCATATATATCTGTGCATTTATAATTATTCATACGTTTCTCTTGCTCCTGCTCATAGTTTAAAGTTTTTATATCGATGTTAAATTGTTTAGAAATCCCTCCTTCTGTTCTACAGTATCTATCTATCTATCTATCTATCTATCTATCTATCTATCTATCTATCTATCTATCTATCGTTCGACCAACCTCCATTTTTCCTTTCTATTTTGACGATATTATTATATCTCTTCTCGTTATGTTTGTTTATGCCATTCTCGGACTCATAATCATAATTTAATGTTTTATAGACCTTAAATTATTTTGACATACCCCTTTCCATTCTACGTAATTATGATCTATCTATCTATCTATCTATCTATCTATCTATCTATCTGGATTACAGCATTTGCGCTAAAGGAGCCGGTTTCGTGACATAAAACCGATTAGAAACTTGACTGTATCTTGTGAGGAACATTAATAACCTGAAAAGTATGCTGTCGAATGAAAAACTTTTCTCCGACATTTATGAAATACGATATTGCGTTCTTAGGATTTTTCCAGTTTGGAAACTAGAGTTGATGTCCACCCTACGCCAATTTTAAAAAAAAAATGTTCATCTCTCGTAAAAGCATCATGCATTTAAATTTTAAGAATATACATTACCAACTGCTGAGTTCATAGAAATAGGATCACTTACCTGGAAAAAGAAAAAGAAAACCATTTTATTAATTATATACAAAAACAGACACAAATATATATATATATATATATATATATATATATATATATATATATATATATATATATATATATATATATATATATATATATATCAGTAGACCCCGGCGTTGCCCGGAGATGTAACAGTAAGAGATAGGTCAAGTATCAACCATCATAAAGACTAACAAATGAAATTGACAAAGATTATTGTTTAAGGTTGACAGACACGCATGTCTTAATTAGTTTTTTGTTTTTTTGTTTTTTTTTTACGAATTGGTCAAACCCAAACTCAAACAAGAACATTGTTTTCAATCGTTATGAGTCTCTACCGATTGAATAGAATTTTATTATAAACAATTGTCTTGTAAATAGAATTTTTAAAGCATTCTGAATGTAAAAATAAAGAAAAAAGTGTGCAAGACAATAAGAAACACTACCTGCCCCCCAAAAAGTGAAGTTTTGTTGAAATCGGTTGAAAAATGTAGGAAATCTGATCCCATATATAAATGAACACACACACACACACGCACACACACACACACAACCTGGTTTTTATAATTAGTATAACTCGATATTAATAAGTATAACTCGATATGAGTTGTCCCCCTTTCATTAATGCCTCTTAATCGTGTTTTCAAATTGATTTCGTGCAAAAACAATTGTGTTTTTCCAATTTTTGGCACTGTCAGAACCACCGCAAGGTAATTTTACGTAGTCCTGTGAAGTTTTGTTGAAATCGGTTGAAAATGTAGGAAATCCGATCCAATATATAAACGTACAGACGCACACACACACACACAATCTGCATTTTATAATAAGTAATATATATATACATATATATGAATATAAAAATATCATATGCACACAATGCAAATTAACCGTGTTTTTAACAGTTGTAAATATCAGAGGTAAACGGCAAAAATTTCGATACGGACCGATTGTTTACAAAATCCCCTTTGAAATATTTCAAATCCAGGACATTACCGTTAGTTCTTACACACACACATGCATGCGCGCGCCACACACACACCCATATATCTACATATACATATACCAATTTTGTATTTAGTCAGCAATCCCTTTTTTATATACATTTCGCTAAAGACGACTGACATGGTATAACGTTCTGATAAATGCCTTATTTATAGATTAAAAAAAAGTATACTCCCATTTTAGACTAAAAATGGGCGTGAATTAAAGTACCAAGCTCTGTTCCATCTTCAAGCGAAATTTCTTTTTGTAAAAAAAAAAATTCGCTTGAAGATGGAACAGAGCTTGGTACTTTAATTCAGTTTAATTCAAATAATTATATTCTAGTTTTCGGCTCTTGTTTTAAAACATGAGAACTCTTATGTAGCGTTGGAATGATATTTTTAAATAAATAATTATATTTATGCTCTACTTTTGTATCGAGCACTATTTTTTTAAAAATAATAAAAATACTAAAGAACTTTGGATTATTTACCTACCGAGTTTTTTCCTATTTTCTATATATTTTTTACACCCCCCATATATATATATATATATATATATATATATATATATATATTATAATAAACTATATATATATATATATATAGTTTATTATAATTATATAGACAAAAACAGTTTACTCACTACAAAGATGCAACTTTGTTTCGATGCATTTCAATTGCACCTCGACTGGTGAAAACCAAAATGGTTATGAAGAATTCAATTTGGTGTAGGATGGGTGAGGTGTTAACTGATGGTTAGTATGGAAAGATTCCTTGTCGATAACAACGGTCAAAGGATTAGACACAGCATTTCACAAGCGTCCTAAGAGTGAGAGGTGGGGGAGCAAAGGTGGGAATAGGAGATAGTAATACGATGAAAGAGGTAGGAGGGAGAAATTCTAACGATAGTTCTAGTAGTAATTGGGAATATATATATATATATATATATATATATATATATATATATATGAAATTGAGAAACTACTTAAAAAATTACGAGATATCTACCGATTTTTTTTTCTGTGTATAAATAAAAACCTATCATGCCACTCACATTAAACATAACTCAGTTACAACACATAATGAAAAAAGAGGGCTTGGAAAATTTGACACTCGCAGGACATCTTGAAGATAAAAGGGACAGAGCGAAATGACACATGACCTAGTTTTGCAAATGGATGGAAGAAGAGGGTTTAGGAGATACAACAAAAAGACAAAATTTAATAAAAGCTAAAAAGGACAGGAAATTGTGAAGAGCCATGATCGCCAACGGCTTGAAGTGACATGACACATAGAAGGAGACGATATGACATTATAATTATTATGTAATAGATTCTATTTCTTCTTCCCGCCAACCAGTGTTTTGTGGGACCGACTCCCAAGAGGATGTTTCCTCGATCACTACAATCTTGACCTGTTCAAGTCTAGGGTTAACAGTTATCTTCCCGTCTTGTCTGCATAAACTCCCTCTTATTCTATAACGCACTAACTTGAGTGACTCCCAGGCCTTGTACAGAATGATCATCACTTAAAAAAAAACAAGACACACAAACGCACACAGACACACACAGACAAACAAATACAAACACACAAAAAAAAAAAAACACATTGATAGACATGAATATATTCAAATAGAAATCAATAGAGTGAGACATACTGAAGGACAGAGAGAAAAAGATATATATATATATATATATATATATATATAGAGAGAGAGAGATAGATAGATAGATAGATAGATAGATAGATAAAAATGAAAATGAAAATAGATAGATAAAATGTTGAATAGATAGATAATGTCTATCTATCTATCCATCTCATCTATCTCAGTCTGCAAACGTCTATCTATAACTATCTATCTATCTATCTATCTATCTATCTCAGTCTGGTCAAATCTATCTATCTATCTATCTATCTATCAAATCAGTCTGGTCAAATCTATCTATCTATCTATCTATCTATCTATCTATCTATCTATCTCATCTATCTATCTATCTATCTATCTCAGTCTGATCAAATCTATCTATCTATCTATCTCTATCTATCTCAGTCTGATCAATCTATCTATCTATCTATCTATCTATCTATCTATCTATCTATCAGTCTGGTCAAATCTATCTATCTATCTATCTATCTATCAAATATCTATCTATCTATCTATCTATCTATCTCATCTAAATCTCATCTATCTATCTATCTATCTATCTATCTATCTATCTATCTATCTCAGTCTGGTCAAATCTATCTATCTATCTATCTCAGTCTGATCAAATCTATCTATCTATCTATCTATCTATCTATCTCAGTCTGGTCAAATCTATCTATCTATCTATCTATCTATCTATCTATCTATCTATCTATCTATCTATCTATCATTTCTATCTATCTATCATTTCATCACTTTGGTTATCTGTTCCACTAATGGTGTCTGCCTGTCGTAAAGAATATTTTCTTCCTATTGCGGAAGTCATCACCATTCTCTTGAAATGAAAATAAATCCAGCTGTTTACATCGTCTGTTGTCTGTGAGTATGGAAATTGAATCTGTCAATTTAAAATGGCCTTGGTATTTGTGGCTTTTAACCAAGAGAGAAATATATGACACGTACAACAATACTCCTAATACTGTTATTGCCGGAGATAGCAATAGACTTGACAATGATCTGCTCATAGTCTTTAGAAACACTTTAGTCGCGGTTTTCGCTGCCTTTCCTAGTTTGGTATTTGAGAGATTCTAGACAATATCCACAGAAGATAATCTAGCAGACTTCAGTTGTCTGCAGTAAAAAAAAAAATGTTTCTCTGTTCGATATATCATCATGTTTGAATTAATTTTTTATTGATCGTTTTAGAAATGTTTAATGACCCGGTTTTATATCCCGATTTTTAATTAATTAAAAATGTTAATAAAAAATTGAAAAATTTCATTTTATATTCAACGGCAGAATGATCGTATTTACTGTTATATAACGAATATACTTTTCTAAAATTGTTTTAGAAAACCAACCTGGGTCTTATAGACAATGTTTAGGCTTCCCGTTGAGTAATTTTATCGCAAACACTGAATCCCGATCCCGATCAGGAGTCCTGTAACCCGTTAGAGCCGTAAGGGCAATTGATATATTGCAGCTGGTCGTAGGTGCGGTGTATACTGAGCAAGACAGCCCGCTGAAGCCTCCCACTTTCCGGGGTGGTCTGAAGTCATAATTTTACTTTTCCTGGACTGGTTGAAGACCAAGTTATAGGTTATCCAGAGTATTCGATTATTTACCCCTAGGTAGCGAGGGGGGGGGAGATGGATTCATACTTTTCCCAAGGGTAATAGTCCGTAAGTGAATGTAATGAACTCGACTGGAATTTGAACTCTCTGACTTCACATTCCGAGTTACTATTCTCATGATGACTACTATAACTTTTACTTTATGTTATTACTTCTACTGAATATAACATCATGATGATAATATGTACTCAAGTGTGACACTGTTTAGCGTTTGGCTAACTAATTATGCGTGGAAATTAAAAGCGAGAAATACATAAGGCGAAGGACATACTGAGCGATGTTATTTTTTTTAACAAAAGAAAAGTGGTAAAGATTTTATTTTCATTTGCAAAGAAAAGTATTTTTTTCCGCAGAAGATAGGAAATTCGTAAGATCTCGGATCTGTCAGAATTAATTCATGCCATGACGCGGCGAATAAAAGATAGCAATCTGCCCATGGCAATAATGAAAATTTCAAATTGGTCAAGTAGCAGTTGGGCAGACGCAGACAGAGTGACAGAGCAGACAGAGTTGAGCTGTGATCTCGGAGACCAACCTCGCAGGAGCGGACTGAAAGATATCCACGCATTCCGACTTAGACTTCTAACCAAAAACAATTTTTTTTTAAGAACGACTTAAACTCACACCACCAAAACAAGTTTTACGAATATCGCCTGAAGATACCAAAAAACCAGTTTATTGAAAAACAACTTAAGATATTAAGACTCGCCTAAGAAACGCAAAGTGTCACGTATCCATAGAAGCGGTTTGGGAGAAAGACGCAGTCCTGTATTCAGAAACCAGATATAAAAATATTTGCTATTCTCTTTTTAACTCATTTGAGTCTTTTGAGTTGTTACTTTATTTTCTTTTACATATACTTGTGCGGTGTCACATTTGTTCGAATTCGGCTTGCACTACGGCCCGACGACTGATTGATTTCGTCTACCTAAGATCAAATCACAACGTGGGTAGGTTGGACTAGAAATCAAAGCAGTTACTTCGGTAACCAGACGTTGGAGGCGAGCTGGGAACGACAAAGCTGATACCGAATCTAACCAGATTCCCATCCGAATCAGCCAAGGGTTAGATCGTCACAAGATAGCAAGAGAGAGGCCCAGGGTGACGTCACACAAGCATTATTATTATTATTATTATTATTATTATCGTTTGTGTATGTCATGTTCCCTGCAGTGTATCCTCTAGAGCCGGGTCACATACTATGGTCCTTAGGCCTTATAGGTGAATTTTCATATAACTTTTCTTAGTATATGGGGTGTTCCTAGTAGGGCGATTTTCTGGGCAACTTGTATGTTGATATTACCTGGGACACTTTTATTAGATTTGTCAATTCCTTTTCTCTCTTTATTATTATTATTGTTATTCTTCTTCTTATTATTATTATTTGTGTGTTATGTTTCATCCTGTAAAGCCGGGTCCAAACTATGGTTCTTAGACCCTATAGGAGAATTGTCATTTAATTGATAGCACTTTTTTTTAGAATATGGTATGTTCCTAGTAGGGCGATATTCTGGGCAACTTGTATGTTGGTGCTACCTGGGACACTGTTAGTAAAATCATCCATTCCATTTCTCACGAGACCCAGAGTTCCGATTACTATTGGTACAGTCTCAGTCTTCATTCCCTACATCATGTTAATCTCGATCTCCAGGTCCTTGTATTTGGATAATTTCTCGATAATTTTCATGGAGGTGTTTCTCTCAGATGGTAATGCTATGTCAATAAGCATACACTTCCTGAATTTCCTCTCTTTTGTGATAACATCAGATCTGTTGGCTTTTATTTCCCTGTCAGTTTCAATTGGCCTATCCCAGAGGATAGTTACATCGTTCTTTTGGGTAACTGTGTCTGGTTGGTGGTCATGCCATCTCTCAGTGGTTTTGATTTTTAGCTTCTTGCATAACTTCCAGTGCAAATATGTCGCCACCTTGTTATGTCGCTGGGTATAGTCATTGTTCCGGATATCCTGAGAGAGTTTCATCATATTTTCCGCACATCCTTCATTACGGGTTAGTTACATTCTTGATTATTTATTATTATTATTGTAATTCTATTGTCAAAAATGACGGCAATTATTACAAAGTCCTAATAGTGAGATATAATGAAATAAAAGTCTTGAAAAGATGCACTGTGGTTCAATAAAGCGTTTAAAAGGAATTCAGACTTTTAAATAGTGGCCAATGAACTGTTTAAATAAAACGCTCCATTTATATTTTTAGACATTCAATGCTATTATCTATGATTCAGTGATTACGCCTGGTCGTGACATACCGAGGGGGCTTAAGCAAGTGGATGACAGAACAGGGTTTGGGAGAGGTAACAAAGAGACAAAACATATTGAGGACTACAAGGGACAGGAGAAAGTGGAGAGCCATGATCGCCTACATCGTGAAGGGACACGGCACATAAAAGAAGAAGATTATATAAATCGCTTTTTTCTCTTAGAAGAAAACGATTAGCAATAGAAAGACAAAGACCGTGAGAGCAAGGCGCATTTCAAGTTGAAGAAAGACGATCACTTAATAGACAAAGTTACCTGAGTACCTCACATGAAAAGCTTGAACAAATACGACTGCATTATAAGAAACGTAGAAATAAAGGAACTAATTAAACGATTCATTTTTCTCGAGAAGTAAGTTTGTCTAAATGATGATAAACAGTTTATGTATATAGATTATTAAAACGATTAAGCGAAGTAATAAATGTACTGAGTTGATTTAGCTCCCTTTCTACTACAGATTGGACAGAAAATAAATAAATACATATTAATAATTATTATATGGTTGGATTATTACCGGTAATGTAAAATGAATTTTCCTAGTGAAGTACCGGCGACGTTCATCGGTACCAAGTGATACATCATATTTAAACATACCGCCACACTATCCTGCCATTAATCAGCTGAAAACTATAGAAGAAAGAGATATAATTGAAAGGAAGTGCCGGCAATGCTAAAGATGTTATTTTATTTTCAACACTAGTGGAAACTTTCTTTTCATAAAATGATCTCCGTTTTCTTTCACCTTGTAATTTTTTATTACTCTATTCATGTAGGATATTTTCACATTTAGGATTCCTTTCCTTATGATCAACTGTGAAGGGAGCTTGCTTTATATATACAGTGATACTTTGGCTAAAACTGAAATGCTTTTGTAAAGAATTGTACGGTGATTATGGCTTGTTTTAAACATTACATACTGAAATACATTTAATGCGCTTTTCGTAAATATGTTCTATTGAGATGTGTAAGTGTAAAAACCTATGCACTTCATGAATATTTGAAGTTTGTTTTATTCTACTGTTGCTTAATTGTAAGTGTAAAAACCTATGCACTTCATGAATATTTGAAGTTTGTTTTATTCTACTGTTGCTTAATTGTAAGTGTAAAAACCACTCCCTCTGTTGAATACTTGATATTTCCACTATTTTACCACTATTGTGTATCACTTCGTGAATTTTTTGTAATTGGCTCTCCTAAGAACTATTATGGTTCGTCTCAAAGGACTTTCGTTGTCGCTGTAACTTTATATATTATCTTTGTAGGCCCGACACAGGAGAGTTAATGTAACATTTCACGCCCAACAAAGCATTCCTGGTGCAACGCTGTCATTAAGCACATTATTTACCATCGTGCCAGATATTTTAAATATCAAAGAAGACCTCTAATTAAATAAAAATACTTCGTTTTATGATGAAACCAAATATGAATTAACGTAAAATGATTATAACAAAGATAAATTTTGTGATAGGAATTCTCAAAACGATGGTGGGAATAAATTGGAAAAATTTTAACTTCATTTTAATAATGATTATTTTTGAAAAATAATATTAATCACTCGCAATTAATACGATTCATAATTAATGTTAAAAGTAATTGCTGGCATTAATAGTGATTAATATTACGCAAATAAAACTAATAATATTTTAAGAAAGTTATGTTCGTTAATAGCATTTTGTAATTTATAAACTATTTTAAATGTTACGGTTCCTTAATTCTAAAGATGTCCGTCTTGACGACTAAATTAGAAACAAAAAGAAGCAAGGAACAAGAAGAAAGGAAGGAAAGAAAGAAAGAAAGAATTTGGAAAAGGATTGAAAGAAAGAATAAGAAAAAAAAGAAAGGAAAGAAAGAAAGAATAAGGA